TAGGCAGAGCTGTTGCTGAGAACTTCACTTTGCAAAGCCTAACAGATCAGGAGACTAACAACATAACCCTATTAAGTTTGTTGGAATAACTCCACTATACCCAGCAGCCCCATAACAGGATTTGGACCTTAGACCCCTCGGGATTATGCACGTTTAAATCCTATTTTGATCACATAAACAAGCCTTATCTGTTACTAAGTTCTTTTTGTCGATGTATTTGGAAAACTGAAGTCCCTTAAAAGGTGAAGGCGTTTAGGCTAAACAAGCTCAATATTAATGGGTTGCTGTAAATTCTCAGACCTGATCAAGCTTTTTCACTGGACTTTTGTGTTATGTGTCGCAGGAAAGGCGAGACACACACTCATTTATCCTTTCAGCGATTGGGTTTGGAAGTTGTAGATGAGGTTGTTTGATATGTTTAGATTGGTTTGGGTCATTTCTCCTTTAGAATGTATATGAGTTCGAATCTTTATGGGGAAGGAGTAACGCCTAGTAGGTTAGCCTTAGATTTCTTAAATAGTTTAAAAATTGTAATTATATTAAATGTAAAACGATTATTTTTTTTTCTTTTGAGATAAAAAGTCTGATAAGTATATTAAGATAAGACACCAAGGGGATACCATCCATTTACAAAAAAAAAATGTACAACTATTGTACTAGTTAGGAATCTATATTATTGAGGAGTATTATTATAGTTTTACTAAATTAGAATTTTATTCTTATTAGTATATTTCATATTTGTATTAGAATTAATATTTCTAATTCTATTAGTTTATTATTTGTCAATTCAATTCTGTTTAGGAAAGTTTACTTAGAAGTTATTATAAACAGTTTTGTAATTCACTTATTATATTGTTCAAGTATTCAATAATATTTTAAGAGTTTTTCAATTTTTTGGTTGTATGATGCAACTAAATTCTTAAATATAATGTACAAAACTTCTTAAATGTGATATCAAATGAAATCAGAGTGATTGAATAAAATTTTTCTGATATGTGTTTCTTGGTTTAGTCTGTGTACTGTTTTTATACATTAATAGAGGAGAAAATATAGGAGATATTTTAGGAAAAATCTAATCAAATTAGCCTAAATCAGCCTAGGATCAAGGATCCTAATCGGAAAAAAGAATCATCCTAGGATCAGGAAACTTTGACCAGGAAATGAGTCAAATTACTTATCCCTCGGTCTATTAGTGAATTCTCTCTTCAGGGATTGTGAAAGATGTTCCACTAGAAATATTCTTGTTATTGCTTCGACTCATATTCCTAAAAAAGTGGATCCCGCTCTAATAGCCCCGAATAAATTAAATACATGCATTAAGATACGAAGGCTTCATATTCCATAACAACGAAAGCACTTTTTCACTCTTTCATATATTGAGAGGGTGCAGTCGGCATTTTTGTGGACCCTGGATCCATGTCTTATGGACTTTAAGTTAGAAATATTCACACAATAACCTAAAGTTCCATCAATTCCTGGCTGAGTAAACGAATTAGAATCTTTATCTCATTTCTGAGAACATCCTAAATTTCTCTTGATTCTCTCCCTAGTCTCTCCCTAAAAAGACACTGGTTGAAACATTTTATAGAATGTATTTGGAAAGGCAGGTGATTAATTAAACAATGATTATCCTAGCAACATTATCTTTTTGTTAAATGACAAATTATTGTTCTGTCATGATTCAAAGTACAAAAAGTTTAATGAAATGTTAGCATAAGAAGAAGCAGATGAAACCACAAGAGTATATGAATAGACCATAAATGCTGTTAAGGTTCAATCCAGACATTTTGTTTATGCTTTTCTGCATGATTAACAAAATAAATTATAGACTGCTTTGAAAGTTTTTATGTTGAATGGTAAGAGTGTATTTGTTTTGAAGTTTTCATATATATATTTGAAGGTTGAACATTTATAAAATGGAGTCTGCGGTATTTCTGTTTATTCCTTTGGTTTCCTGCATGTTTTTTTTATCCTTCTCAATAATATTTGTAGATTTTTTACTCATATCTAGATTTCTTCTTTTTAATATAATCTTTATCTATTGACTAAGGAAAGAAGTTGTGTGGTTTACCAGATATTTTCCAACTTGCGCTATTTGACAGGAAAGAAGGTTGCTAGTCGGAAACAGGACGTTCTGGAACTTGTCGAACATTTTAATGTGAGTACTTTTCCTGTTAGTTTATATGCTGATTTTTATCTGTCGTAGTTCCGCTGGTTGTTCATGCTTATGGGATCCAGGAGATTTTAATGTGACTGTTTTCTATCTGTAGTACTTTTTGAATTTTCAGGATCCTTGTAGCTGTTTAAGTAAGCCCAAATTGGTTAAACGTAAAGCTTTAGGTAAAAAGAAAGGCAAAATGGATAGGAGTCTATAGGATAGGAGTCTATAGGTCCAAGTCAAAATCAGACCATCTTCTTTTTGTCTATAAAGGAAGTTGCCCAAGTATTCCTGCCAGGAGCCAACCCAGGTTAATTTTAATTGCCTCTACTCTCCACTGTCTTCTTTGTAAAAAGGCAGAGATGTCCCTGAAAATCCTTCTTTTCCTGATACTCCTTCATTTGTTAAAAATCGTGTCCAGAACCGGTCTTCTTTGAACTCTTTAGGAAATGTTTTGGATACTGATGACTTGTTCTTTTATCCACTTTGAGTCCACTTATGGTCTTCTTTTTCTGATTGGCCTGTTGAGGAGAGGGGAGAGCCCTATGATATTCTGCCTCTTCCTAGAATGAACCTCAAAACTTAGGTATTGGTGGGAGAGTGAGTTCCAGCAGGGAGGACATTAGGCTTTTTGAGTTGCGAAATGGAGGGCTCGGGGGAAGAGGTAGGAGTCTTGGTGCTTGGTGCCTCAAATTGGGTGATAAACGCATGGCTAGAATCAATTGTTTGTTGGGTGTCAAATGAGAATTTCGAGGACCATTAATTTGTTTACAACCATTTGAATTGAATAGAGGAGTGAAAGAGCATTCTAAAACATTAAAGTCTTAGGAGAGGAAAAAGCTAAGGTAGGCAAGTAAAGGAGTTGGAAAACTTGTATAGCTTTGTTGATTATGGGAAGGGGTGTAAGATGGGAAAGGGTGATAGGGACTTTACTGACAAGGAGTCCTTGTGTTAAAAAAATAGGAACTAGGAATTTGATATGGAGATATCAAAATAAGCATGCAGATATTAAGATTGTCTTAATGGAAGTCAAATATTGTGTCTACAAGAATCTTAAATGGAGGTTTTTGTGATGTTTTAGCCCATGGGATGGGCAAGGGTAAGACTCTAGGTTGGTACGACTTGCTTGTAGTAGGGGCTTTCGGATTGTGGGCGGTAATTGTTTTATTGGATCAGAGCTCGATGGAGTTGGTGGATTGGGTAAGAGATAAGTGATTGATAACCAATGTTTGAAACATAGAGTGTAAGGGTGGATTTGGATATAATTAGGGGTGCATGGTAGAGGGGCGATTTGAGTAAGTGAGGTTTTGTGGAATGATATGGAGGTGATTATGATGAGATAAGGTTTTCCTTAGATTGCTAGAGGAGATTTGGATATGGTTTTTTACAAGCACAAGAGAACCAACGAATCTTATCCGAGGGTCTATAATGATGGACTTGGTTCTTTTTTTTTTTGATAAAAAATCTCATTAACCTCTCTCTTTCGAGTAGTAAATGGACTTTGTCAAACTTGAGGAAGAGTTCTAGCTTTTCTAAAATTTACTCTTTTCTTGTCTCAACTTGTTTTGAACCCCAAGTGCCTAGAGTAGTTGAGAAGATTCTTAGTTGACCTTTGACCAGTTCTCAATTGGCCTAGAGGTGACTGATATTTACTCGGAGCTTTTTCCTTTCAGAATTGGGATCAAATGGCTTGGAGATCTTGGTTTTGTAATCTAGTTTTAGTGGGAAGAAGCCTAGGTGGATGCCTTTGGTAGCTTTGTGATGGCAAGGAAATGTGCAATAAGGACTGGAACAAGAATGATTTTTGGGTTATGGAAGCTGAAAGGATAGTTTGATGCAGGTTCTGTCCAGCCTGGTTAACATGGAAGGCGGAAGAATCTTATGTTCTTTTGAGAAGGAGAAGAGGGTAGTGGCTAGAGTGGAGTTGGTGAACCTTCTTTTGATGGAGGAGATTGATTGGAGATAATGACCTAGAGTTACCTGGATTAACAAAAGGAACAAAAAAATTTCGGGTTCTTTGATTGCCTTGCAAGTCAACATAAGAGGGGAAACGTCAAGCAAAGATAGGTAGACTTTGTTTGGAATAGTGGCAGGAGAGATGTGACAAGAGCTTTCTTTGAAGATCTCTGTAAGGAACCTGTTGATTGGCACCCATCCCTTGATAATTTTGCCTTTGTCTCCTAGTTACTTACAAAGTAGGTTGTAAGGTCTTTGACTAAGGACAAGATGCTTGATGCTATAAGAACTTGTAATAGTGTTAAGGCCCTAGGCTTTGATGTTTTTCTCTTTAGTACTAAGGACATTTATGCTCTATTTCAAGAATTCTTCGAAAACAGGTTCTTTATCCTTAACCTGAATGGGTACATTGTCTACAATATGGCTCAAACTTTTTGGTTTTCATTTTGAAGATTGATAATGTTTTTTACGTCAAAGATTTTTGGTCCATTAATCTTGTAAATTTTGTTTTAAAACTTTTTACTAGGTGCTTGCTAAAAGGCTTGAGGGTAGTGAGGTGGGAAGTTTCGACATGCGTTTATGGAAGGAAGACAATTCTCAATGTAACTCTTATTGCCAATGAGGTTGTTGACTTGATGAGAATAACGGTGAGAAGGGCCTTATTTGGTTGCTTAACATGGGAAAACTTATGATCATTTCTCCTAGGAGTTTCTTCTCTATATTCCGAAGAGGCTGGGATTTAAGTGGAGTTGGTTTTCATCAATTTTATTTGTTCTACTTCTTTAGTGTTCTTTTTATTGGTGACCTTTTTAGATTTTTTCTAACTTAAAGAGATTTGAGACAAGAAGATCAAACCCTCCATAGATTTATTGCCAGAGCAAGGGAGAAACAACTAATCTGGGGTTTAATAGTTGGTGAGGGCGGACGCGATGGAAGTGAGACATATTCTTTTGCTAATAACATTTGATTGTTTTGTTGGCGTAACTCTGAAACTCTCCTTAACATTAGGTGTATTTTCCTTTATCTACAAGCAGTTTTGGTTTCAAGATATTGTCATGGAAGATGGTTCTCTAAATACCATTGTTGGGAAGGACAACATGAAGCTGAGTTCTATCTTGGTTCTAGAAAATGTGTTGCATGTTTTTAAACATGTAGAAATCTTGTGTTAGTCACCAAATTATCACAAGATTTGAACTGTAAAATAATATTTTTTCTTTTCACTATGACTTTCAGGATCAGAACTTAGGAAAGATGATTGAACGTGCTGAGGTTAGAAACAAATTATATTGTTTGGATACACCTGATGGATCTCTCTCCGTTATTTCTACTGACCTTAACCACAAGTTTTGACTTTACCATGAGAGACTTAGCCATCCATTCTTTTCTATTAAAAGGTTATCTTTAATCTAGTATTAAAAATTCAGATAGTAGAAATTTATATTATGATGAATGTGAGTTAATCAAATATAAGCGTGTACACTTTCCTATTAGCAGTAAAAGAAGTATGCTTTCATTTCTTTAGTCGGTAGTTACTTTTGGTGACCATCCCACATTTTCAATATTTTTGGGGTTCAATGATTTGTGTCATTTATTGATTGCACTATGGTTACATGAACTTTTTTTTTTAATCAAATCCGAATTAGATGTTATCCACATAATGCCCTAGTTCTTTAAAATGATGAAACCCTAATTTTCAACCCACATAAAATGATAGATAATGGTTTGGTAGATTTGTAAGGGTAGTGACAGGCTTTGGATACAAGGAAACTCAAGGAGACCACATTCTGTCTTCAAGCATTTTGAGATAGGGGGAGTTGTTGTCCTCCTAGTATATATCGATGACATTATTATAACATATGATAATAAAAAAAGAGAGATTGATGCTCAAGTAATGCCTGACTAGAGAATTCGAAATTAAGGAGTTAGTTAAGTTGAAGTACTTTTTTGGGAGTTGAAGTCGCTCGCTTAAAGTTAGAGATCTTCATCTCTCAACAGAAATACCTTCATAACTTGTTAATAGATGCGAACAAATCAACATGTAAGCCAGCTAGTACTCCTATCGATCCCAATCATAAACTGCAATTGGTAGAAGAGGATACACCAGTGATAAAACGATGTATCAAAGATTGATTTACGGACTGATATGCTTGTCACACAAGACCCAACATCGTATATGTAGTAAGTTTTATAAATCAGTTCATGAACAACTCTAAAAGAGTACACTTACAGTCAACCTATAGAGTGCTGCATTACCTAAAGAGTTACTTGGGAAAAAAATCATATTTAGAAAAAATGACAAGTTGTTTTTAGAAGTCTATATGGATGCAGACTAAGCAAGATCAGTTGTGGATAGAAGATCTACCAAGGTTAACTTATTTTCTTTGGAATAATCTGGTTACATGGAGGAGTAAAAAACAAAATATGGTTACAAAGTCAAGTCAGAACCAGAAGTTTAGACAATGACTCAAGGAATACGTAAATTACTTTTGTTAAAGAGAATTTTAGAAGACCTGAAAATCAAGTGGGACAGCCCCATGCATTTATACTTTGACAATAAATTGGCCATAATCATTGCCGATAATTCGGTGCAACATAATAAAACCATGCTTATTAAGTTGACAGACATTTCATAAAAAAAAGCTATGCAATTGCTTAACATGTATTCTATACATGCCAACCAGCTCACAGCTTACGGATGTGTTGAGTAAACGTCTGACTACTTTAGTATTTCAGACTATTATTGACAAGTTTGGGATTGACAATATCTATTCTCCATCTTGAAGGGGAGTATTAAAGAGAGTATGTAATTAGGTTAAAAAACATTAGAGCAAAATGCACCCTGTGTAATTAATATAATTAATAGTCCTGTGTAATTAATATAATTAATAGTCTATTTACTTTTTTATTCTAGAAAGTTTGTCTATATAGGATTGTGGTATTCAATAAAATACATACTTAACCATTCTTCACAAATCTTACTTACATCTCTCATATCCTCATCTTCACTGCAACTTTCTTTAGAAGCAAATATGCAAAAGAATATATCACTTAGAATTGCTTTTTTCTTTCTCTTTTGCTTGGGAGGCTGCTACAGAGTAGGTCCTTGCTATTGTTAATGTACAGAAGAAAAAGGATTCAACTGAACTGATGGTTTTTCTGTACGGAGCTAACTAGATCCCAAAATTTATTGCATCGGTTATTTAGATTTTGTTACTTCAAAAATTTATCTTGTCTGTTTATTATTATTATTATTTTTTTCGCTTTTCCTTGATAACCTTGTGTTTTATGCCACCTGTGTAGATTGATGTTGAAAATCCATGTGTCATAATGAGTCAAGACAAAAGCAGAGAATTTTTGCATTCCGGAAATGACAGAGACAAATTTAAGGTAAAATCTAAATACATGAGTATCAGAAGATGAAAATTACTGATATGCTGAAACTTTCCTGGTCTTCAGTTTTTTTTCAAGGCCACACTTCTTCAGCAAGTCAATGATCTTCTACAACGTATTTCTGGACAACTTAAAGATGCAAATGCACTTATTGAAGAGCGGGAGGCTACAATTAGGCCCATAGAACAGGAACTTAGCAAACTACAGGGCAAAATAAAAAATATGGAGCATATAGAAGAGATATCTCAACAAGTGCAGCAATTGAAAAAGAAGCTTGCATGGTCATGGGTCTATGATGTGGATAGGCAACTAAGGGAACAGACTGAGAAGATTGGAAAGCTTAAAAATCGTATACCCACTTGCCAAGCTAAAATAAATTGGGAAACAGTGAGTCTTTTTTTGTCTAAAGTCATAATATTTCATCGCCTTTTCACTTAAAAAGTAATTATTCATTTGATGGGAAATGAGGGAAGAAAGGAGGGTGTAGCTATTGAAAGTTTGATTACTGGGCAGGTTGGATGTTTGGGAGTTAATTAGTTTATAAGTTTTAAACAACTGCATTCTTTTATTTACCATGTAGAGTAAGGTACAGTCGCTGAAGGACCGTCTTAAGGAAAAGAAGGCTCAAGTTGAAGTGATGGTGGAAAAATCATCAATTGTAAAGAGAAGCATGGATGAACTAAAACACTCCATTTCTTTGGTATGTTTAAAGTTCTTATTCGATTCAGACAGGCAAGTGTAAATGAAACGAATTATGGACTACGAAATTAGGGTACTAGAGATATAGACTGACAGATAACCAGCTCTTATGAAAATGCTGCCATTTTCAGTGCACTAATTACAAATTTGGTTATTAACTATTCCAATTGCCCAATTTGCAAAATCTTGTAGGCAACAAAAGAGAAGCAAGAACTGGAAGAAGAAAATCGCCGCAGGATGAATGACATTCAAAAAACCATGATTTTAGTTAGGCGGCTTGAGAAAGAAGCTAGTACTATTCATGAACAACATATCAGAAGTACACAGGTTCTCTTTTACTTAAAAAAATTAAATCTCCATTTCCTTCTAACAATATGTTTCTTTCTTGTCCTTAATTAATTTTTAGCTACTCTTTCTCTTTTCATCTATGATGCTAGTGGGCTTTTTATTTATTTCTAAAAATTAATTTTCTTGTAGGAATCCTTTTGAAGGCCAGTGCCTTTTTTATATACAATATGCAAATGCCATTATTAAAGATTCTTATCTCTATGTTAGCATTTGAATCAAGCATGAGGCATGTTACATGATAACCCTTGATAAAATGATGTGGGATGAACTTGGTTGAATTACTATAATATGTTGATCATGTCAAAGAAGGGTTTTGGGGCAGTGATACTCATTATCCTTAAACATTTTTACATCAAGTGGCTACTCATATCCTATGATTCAAACTGCTCTTTTTTGATAAAAAAGAAATGTAATTAAATAAAGAAAGATGGATACAACTAGGGAGGAGTAGATATGCTCCAATCATGAAAAGAAAACATAAACAGTGCGGATACCCAGAATTTTGGGTTGATGAAATCCAGGTTTTTGTATGTAGTTTTTAGGGATCAATTGTTAAAATTTATTTTAATCTCTTTCCAAGAATAAAGGGATATGGGTATTATCTCATCTCTTTCTTAGAATAAAGGGACATGGGTGTTATCATTTTCCAAATTTTGCTTCCCTTGATTTGGTGGAAGAGATTATCCTCTTCCCGGCCATATATATTGTTGAATTTTTCTATTTTATTATTTAAATTACTTTATTATTTAATTAGATAATTTAATGTAATTAAAAGTTTATTAGAATAGGAATTTCCCTAGTAGTAAAATAGTTATTCTATAAATAGCAGGTGTAACAACCTAAATGATGAGAAATAAAATTATATTTTTTATCCTAAAAATCAACATGGTATCAGAGCTAAAGTAAAACTATTTTAAGGTTTTGAAAAAAGTCTTAAAATGGCAAAATAGGTTGAGTAGAAAGACCCAGATCAGAAGAGAGGGAGATTAGAAGAAGAGAGGTCAGAGCAGAGGAAGAAAGAGAGTAGCCGGCCTCCATTGCACGCAGAGCCGTGCGAAGACAGAGCCTCGGAATCCGTCTTTTTCAGTCGTGCGTAGAGTCGTGTTCGTCTCAAGTTCTTCTTTAGTCGTGCGCAGGGACGTGTTAACCCTGGGTCTATTCTTCTTCAATTGCACACAGAGACGCGCAAAAAAAACCAATCAACCCAACTTCTTTTTCCACTGTATGCAGAGCCACACGAAGAGCTACGCGATCTGGTTCTCCTTCCTCCGCGCGTAGAGCCGCGCAAAGTGCCGAACAACCAGCTTCTTCTTTGCCGCACGCAGAGCCGCTCAACAGGAAGCTTTTTTGGCCGTGATCTCTACTTCACGTAGATCTACCTGAGCTGAGATGAGCCTTGAGCCGAGCCGAGTTCGAGCCATTTTTGAGCCGAACCTGAGTTGTTTGAGC